CCCCGTGCGTTGCGGGTCGACCGGGCCGGGAGCGGAGCCAGCTGCTGCTGGGGCGGGGGGTGGCCAGGGAACCAGGCCCGGCCCCGCAGGCGTTGGGCCCCAGTCTCGTGCGCCCCCTGCCTGGGCTCAGAGCGCCTGGAAAGGGGCGGGGCCGGGTGGGGGAAATCCCCTGGGAAGCCTTTGATCCCAGCAAACAGCAAGGGAATTGGCTTCGTTGGTTGAAACGTTCTGCTGAAAACTCGAAGCGCGATTGTGCTGCTGCCAGCGAGCGGCGCGGTGCCTTGTGGGAGCTGGAGTGTGCGCCTTGTCTGCTGGGGACTGGCTGGACTACATCTCCCATAATGCATCATGGCCTCCCTCAGGCCCTGGTGTCTTGTGGGAGCTGTAGTCCGGCTGGAGATCCTGCCTAGGAGCTGTCTCCTTTGACCAGTTGTTCTGACGATGAACCGGTTGGGAGGGAAAACGCCTCCCGGTGGCCTGGGGGCAGCCTGTGCTGGAGGGGGAGACTCGGCCCGGCCCCGTGGGTCACTGACCTGTGCCCCCTCCCAGGTAACATGTTCCCCACGATCGGCGACGTGCACCTGGCCCCCTTCACAGACGAGCAGCTCTACATGGAGCAGTTTACAAAGGCCAATTTCTGGTGAGTCCTGGCCCTGCCGTGAGGCTGGTGCCCTGCATGCTGGGGGGGGCCGGAGAGCGCTGAGGGGGGCACAGTGGCACCAAGCTCAGGCTGGCCGCAGGGAGCAGGCAGGACTCCCCGCCCAGCACGGTTCTGCCATCCAGCCGCCGTGGGTCCTGGCAGAGACGCCCCCGCCAGCCCCCCGCCCCGTCCTGGACCAGGCGTGTGCTGGCACCAGTCCCTGGGGAATTACCAGAGCCCCCTTTCCAGCCCACCCCGGCATTATCCTCTGGACCCCGGAGCCCGGCCTCAGCCCAGTTCCTCAGGGCCCTGGTGCCCAGAGCTCCATCAGTCATGCCAGGGTGAGGCGGTTCTGTGGGGGCTGCCTCTGCCTGGGCTCTCCAGGGAAGCCCCCGCGTGCGTGGCGTCCACCCGGCGGGAGAGGCGCCCCCGGCGGTGCCCGGTTAAGCTCG